GCTTTGCCTTTTGCCTTGCCTTGTACCTTGCCTTGCCTTGCCCTATGTGCCTTGCCTTGTGTGCCTTGTCTTGCCTTGTAACTTGCCTTGCGTTACCTTGTGCCTTGCCTTGCCATGCCTCATCTTGCTTTGCCTTTTGTGTTGCCTTGCCTTGCCTTGCATTGTGCCTTGCCTCTTGCCTTGCCTCACCTCGTGCCTTGCCTTGTAACTTGCCTTGCCTTACGTTGTGACTTGCCTTGCCTTACGTTGTGACTTGCCTTGCCTTACATTGTAACTTGCCTTGCCTTGCGCCTTGCCTTGCCTTTCCATGCCTTGTCTTGCTTTTGCCTTTTGCCTTGCTTTGGCTTGCCTTGTGCCTTGCCTTACCTTGTAACTTGCCTTTCCTTACCTTGTAACTTGCCTTGCCTTGTGCCTTGCCTTTCCATGCCTTGCCTTTCCATGCCTTGTCTTGCTTTGCCTTTTGCCTTGCCTTGTGCCTTGCCTTGCCTTGGGCCTTGCTTTGTAACTTGCCTTGCCTTACCTTGTAACTTGCCTTCCCTTATGCCTTGCCTTGCCATGCCTTGTCTTGCTTTGCCTTGTGCCTTGCCTTGCCTTGTAACTTGCCTTGCCTGGTGCCTTGCCTTTCCATGCCTTGCCTTTCCATGCCTTGTCTTGCTTTGCCTTTTGCCTTGCCTTGCCTTGCATTGTGCCTTGCCTTGCCTTGGGCTTTGCCTTGCCTTGGGCCTTGCCTTGCCTTGTGCCCTGCCTTGCCTTGTTCTGTGCCTTACCTTTCCTTGCCTTGCCTCGTGCCTTGCTTTGGCTTGCCTTAACTTGGGCTTTGCATTGCTGTGCCTTACTTTCTGCCTTGCCTTGACTTGCCTTGCTTTGACTTGCCTTGCCTTGTGCCTTGCCTTGATTTTTGCTTTGCCTTGCTATTTCCTTGTTGCTTGCCCTGACTTGCCTTGTCCCTTTCCCTTTGACTTGCCTTTTGCCTTCACTTGCCTTGCTTTGTGCCTTGCCTTGCCTTTTGCTTGACTTGCCTTGTGCCTTGCCTTCCCTTCGCTTGCCTTGTGCCTTGCCTTGCCTTGTGCCTTGCCTTGCCTTGTGGCTTGCTTTGCCTTGCCTTGTGGCTTGCCTTGCCTTGTGCCTTGCCTTGCCTGACTTTGCCTTGCCTTGTGGCTTGACTTGCCTTGTGCCTTGCCTTGCCTGACTTTGTCTTGCCTTGTGGCTTGACTTGCCTTCCCTTGCCTTGTGCCTTGCACCTTGCCTTGTGCCTTGCGCCTTGCCTTGTGTCTTGCGCCTTGCCTTGCCTTATGCCTTGTGTTGCCTTTGCTTGTGCATTGCCTTGCTTCTGCCTTGGCTTGCCGTGCTTTGTCTTGCCTTTTCTAGTCTTGCCTTGTGCCTTGCCTTGCCTAGCTTTGTGGCTTTCCTTGTGCCTTGCGCTTTGCATTGCCTTGCCTTGCCTTGCCCTGTGCCTTGCCTTGCCCTGTACCTTGCCTTGTGCCTTGCCTTGTGCCTGGCCTTGCCTTGCTTTGTGCTTTGCCTTGCCTTGTGCCTTGCCTTGTGTTGCTTTGTGCCTTGCCTTGCGCCTTGCCTTGCCTTGTGCTTTGCCTTGCCAGGGCTTGTCTTGCCTTCCCTAGTCTTTCCTTATGCCTCACCTTGCCTTGCAGCTTGCCTTGTGTTTTGACTTGCCTTGCCTTGGGCTTTGTGTTGCCTTGCCTTGCCCTATGCCTTGCTTTGTGTCTTGCCCTGTGCCCTGCCTTGTCTTGCTTTGTGCTTTGCCTTGCCTTGTGCCTTGCCTTTCCTTAGTTTGTGCCTTTGCTTGCCTTTTGCCTTGTCTTGTGCCTTGCCTTACTTTGCCTTGTCATGCCTTGTGCTTTGCCTTGCCTTGTGCCTTGCCTTGCCTTGTACTTTGCTTTGGTTGCCTTGTGCTTTGCCTTCCCTTGACTTGTGTGTTAATTTTCATTACCTTGTTACTTGCCTTTCCTTGGCTTGTGCCTTTCCTTGGCTTGTGCCTTGATTGTGCCTCAGTTTTCTTTGCCTTGTGCCTTGCCTTGTCTTGGCCTTGTTTTTCCTGGCCTTGCCTTGCCTTGTGCCTTGCCTAGCCTTACTTGTGCCTTGCTTTGCCTTGTGCCTTGCCTTCCCTTGACTTGTGCGTTAATTTTCATTACCTTGTTACTTGCCTTTCCTTGGCTTGTGCCTTGCTTATGCCTCGGTTTTCTTTGCCTTGTGCCTTGCCTTGTCTTGGCCTTGTTTTTCCTGGCTTTGCCTTGCCTTGTGCCTTGCCTAGCCTTACTTGTGCCTTGCTTTGCCTTGTGCCTTCCCTTGCCTTGTGCCTTGGCTTGTGCCTTGTCTTGGCTTGTGCCTTGTCTTGCCTTGTGCCTTGTCTTGCCTTGTACTTGCCTTGCCTTGCTTATGCCTTGTCTTGTGCCTTGCCTTGCCTTCTCTTGACTTGTGCTTTGCCTTACCTTGCCTTGGCTTGTGCCTTGCCTTGCCTTGTGCCTCTCCTTATGCTTTCCCTTGCCTTGCCTTGTGCCTCGATTTGCCTTACTTTGTGCCTTGCATTGCCTTGGCTTGTGTTTTGCCTTGCCATGCCTTGTCTTGCCTTCCCTAGTCTTTCTTTGTGCCTTTCCTTGCCTTGTGGCTTGCCTTGTGTTTTGGCTTGCCTTGCCTTGCACTTTGCATTGCCTTGCCTCGCCCTATGCCTTGCCTTATGTCTTGCCTTGTGCCCTGCCTTGTATTCCTTTGTGCTTTGCCTTGCCTTGCCTTGCCTTATGCTTTGCCTTACCTTGCCTTAGTTTGTGCCTTTGCTTGCCTTGTGGCTTGTCTTGCCTTGTGCCTTGCCTTACTTTGCCTTGTCATGCCTTGTGCTTTGCCTTGCCTTGTGCCTTGTTTTGACTTATGCCTGCCTTCCCTTGACTCGTGCCTTCCCTTGCCTTTTTTTGTGCCTTGATTTGCCTTTCCTTGTTCCTTGCCTTTCCTTGTTCCTTGCCTTGCCTTGTGCCTTGCCTTGCCATGTCTTGTCTGTCCTTGCCTTGCCTGGCCTTGTTTTGCCTTGTGCCTTGCCTTGCCTCGTGCCTTGTGCCTTGTGCCTTGCCTTGTGCTTTGCATTGCCCTGCCTTGTACCTTGCCCTGCCTTGTGCCTTGCATTGCATTTTTCCTTGCTTTGTTCTGTGCCTTACCTTGCCTTGCCTCATGCCTTGCTTTGGCTTGCCTTTACTTAGGCCTTGCCTGACTGTGCCTTGCTTTCTGCCTTGCCTTGCCTTATTTTGCTTTGCCTTGCCATTCCCTTGTGCCTTGTCTTGACTTGCCTTGCACCTTGCCTTGCCTTGTATTTTGCCTTCCCTTGCCTTGCTTTGTGCCTTGATTGCCTTGCTGGTGCCTTATCTTGCCGTTTGCCTTATCTTGCCTTTTGCTTGCCTTCCCTTTGCTTGCCTTCTTGCCTTGTGCCTTCCCGTGCCTTGACTTGTGCCATGATTTGCCTTGCCTTGTGACTTGCCTTGCCTTGCCTTGCATTGCCATACCTTGCGTTACCTTGCATTGGCATGCCTTGTCTTGCCTTCCCTTGTTTTGTCCTTTGCCTTGCCTTGCGTTGTGCCTTGTCTTGCCTTGCCTTGCCTTGTGCCTTTTCTTGCCTTGCCTTGACTTGGTTTGTGCCTTGCCTTGACTTGTGTCTTGCCTTGCATTGCCTTACCTTTTGCTTTGCATTGCCTTGCTTTGCCTAGCATTGCCTTGTTCCTCACCTTCCCTTGCGTTCTGCCTTGCCTTGCATTGCCTGGTGCCTTAACTTGCCTTGTGCCTTGCCTTCCCTTCACTTGTGTTTTGCTTGCCTTGCCTTTCCTTTTGCCTATCCTTGCATTGCCTGACTTTGCCTAGCCTTTTGCTTTAGCTTTACTTGACTTGACTTGTGTCTTGCCTTGCATTGCCTTGCCTTGCCTTGCATTGCCTTGCCTTGTGCCTTACATTGCCTTACCTTATGCCTTGCCTTGCCTTGCCTTGTGCCTTGCCTTTCCTTCTGCCTTGCCTTGTGCCTTGCCTTGCTGGGCCTTGCTTTCTGCCTTGCCTTGACTTGCCTTGACTTGTGCCTTGCCTTGCCTTGCTTTTTGCTTTGCCTTGCCATTCCCTTGTGCCTTGACTTGACTAGACTTATGCCTTGCCTTGCCTTTTGCTTCACTTGCCTTGCTTTGTGCCTTGCCTTGCCTTGCCTTGCCTTGCATTGCCTGGTGCCTTGACTTGCCTTGTGCCTTGCCTTCCTTCACTTGTCTTTTGCTTGCCTTGCCTGGCTTTGCCTTGCCTTTTGCCTTGCTTTGCCCTGACTTGTGCCTTGCCTTATCTTGCCTTGCCTTGCCTTGCCTTGTGCCTTGCCCTCTGTTTTTTCTCACCTTCCCCTGTGCCTTCATTTGCCTTGCCTTGTGCCTTGGCTTGTCTTGCCTTGTGTCTTGGCTTGCCTTGCCTTGTGCTTTGCATTGCCTTGCATTGCCTTGTGCCTTGCCTTGCCTTGTTTTCTGCCTTGGTTTGCCTTGTGCCTTGCCTTGCCTTGCTTTCTGCTTTGCTTTGCCTTGTGCCTTGCCTTGTGTGTTGCCTTGTTTGGCCTTGTGCCTTGCCTTGCTTTCTGCCTTGCTTTTTCTTGTGCCTTGCCTTACCTTCCTTGTGCCTTGCCTTGCAATTTGCCTTGCCTTGTACCTTGCCTTTCTGTGCCTTGTCTTCCCTTCCCTTGCCTTGCTTTGTGCCTTGCTTTGCCTTGGCTTGCTTTGCCCTGTGCTTCGCATTGCCTTGCTTCGCCTTCTGCCTTGCCTTGTGCCTTGCCTTGCCTTGACTTGTGCCTTGCCTTGCCTTGGCTTGTGCCTTGCCTTGCCTTGCCTTGCCTTGCTTTGTCCTTTGCCTTGCCTTGTGTCTTGCCTTGCCTTGGCTTGTGCCTTGCCTTGCCTTGCTTTGTCCTTTGCCTTGCCTTGTGCCTTGCCTTGTCTTTCGGCTTCCCTTGCATAGCTTTGCCTTGCTTTGTGCCTTGCATTGTGCCTTACCTTTCCATGACTTGACTTGTTTATTGATTTGCCTTTTCTTCTTACTTGCCTTTCCTTGCCTTGTGCCTTGCCTTGGTGTGTGCCTTGCTTGTGCCTTGGTTTCACTTGCCTTGTTCCTTACCTTGTCTTGTCTTGCCTTGCCTTGTACCTTGCATTGCCTTGCCTTGTGCCCTCCCTTGCCTGCCTTGTGCCTTGATTTGCCTTGCCTTGTATCTTGCCTTGCCTTGCCTTGTAACTTGCCTTGCCTTGCCCCTTGCCTTGCCTTGCCTTGCCTTTCGCCTTGTCTTGCTTTGTGCCTTGCCTTGCCCTGTCTTGCCTTGCCTGTACTTTGCCTTGCCTTGCTTGTGCCTTGCTTTGCTTGTGCCTTCCCTTGCCTTCCCTTGTGCCTTGCCTTGTTCTGTGCCTTACCTTGTTCTGTGCCTTACCATGCCATGCCTTGTACCTTGCTTTGGCTTGGACCTTGCCTTGGTATGCCTTGCTTTCTGCCTTGTCTTGACTTACCTTGCCTTGCCTTAATTTTTGTTTTGTCTTGCCATTTCCTTGTGCCTTGCCTTGATTTGCCTTTTGCCTTCACTTGCCTTGCTTTGTGCCTTGCCTTGCCTGATATCTTGCCTTGCCTTTTGCCTTGCCTTGTCTTTTGCCTTGCCTTGCCTTGTTCCTTGCATTACATTGTTCCTTGCCTTGTTCTGTGCCTTACCTGGCCTTGCCTCATGCCTTGCTTTGGCTTGCCTTGACTTGGTCCTTGCCTGGCTGTGCCTTGCTTTCTGCCTTGCCTTGACTTGCCTTGTGCCTTGCCTTGCCTTGCTTCCTGCCTTGCTTTGCCTTGCTTCCTGCCTTGCTTTGCCTTGCTTCCTGCCTTGCTTTGCCTTGTGCCTTTCCTTGCTTTGTGCCTTGCCTTTCCTTCTGCCTTGCCTTGTCTTCCTTGTGCATTGCCTTGCCTTGTGCTTTCGCTTGCCTTGCCTTGTGCCTTGCCTTGGGCCTTGCCTTGGGCCTTGGTTTGTGCCTTGCCTTGCCCTTTGCATTGCCTTGCCTTACTTTGTGCCTTGCCTTGCTTTTTGCCTTGCTTTGCCTTGTGCCTTGCCTTATTCCTTGCTTTGTTTGGTGCCTTACCTTCCCGTGCCTCATGCCTTGCTTTGTCTTGCCTTGACTTGGGCCTTGCTTCTCTGTGCCTTGCTTTCTGCCTTGCCTTGCCTTGGCTTGCTTTTTGCTTTGTCTTGCCCTTCCTTTGTGCCTTGCTTTGCCTTGACTTGTGCCTTACCTTGCCTTTTGCCTTCACTTGCCTTGCTTTGTGCCTTACCTTGCCTCGTGTTGCCTGGTGCCTTAACTTGCCTTGTGCCTTGTCTTCTCTTCACTTGTCTTTTGCTTGCCTTTCCTTTTCTTTTGCCTAGCCTTGTCTTGCCTGACTTTGTCTAGCCTTTTGCCTTGCCTTGCCTTGGCTTGACTTGTGCCCTGCCTTGCATTGCCTTGCTTTGTGCTTTTCCTCACCTTGCCCTTTGCCTGGATTTGCCTTGCGTTGTCTTGTGCCTTGCCTTGACTGGTACCTTGCCTTCCCTTGCCTTCTGCCTTGTGCCTTGGTTTGCCTTGCCTTGGCTTTGCATTGCCTTACACCTTGCCTTCTGCCTTACCTTGCCTTGTTCCTTGCCTTGCCTTATGCCTTGCCTTGTTTTCTGCCTTGGTTTGCCTTGTGCCTTGCCTTGCCTTGCTTTCTGCCTTTCTTTGCCTTGTGCCTTGCCTTGCTTTGCGCTATGCCTTGCTTTGCCTTGTGCCTTGTCTTGTCTTGCCTTGTCTTGTGCCTTGGCTTGACGTGACTTGACTTGCCTTGTGCCTTGCCTTGATTTGTGCCTTACCTTGCATTGCCTTGTGTCGTGGCTTGCCTTGCGCCTTGGTTTGCCTTGCCTTGTGTTGCCTTGTGCCTTGGTTTGCCTTGCCTTGTCTTGCCTTGCTTTGTATTGCCTTGCCATGCCTTCTGCCCTGACTTATACCTTGCCTTGCCTTGCCTTGCCTTGTGCCTTGCCTTACCTTGGTTTGTGCCTTGCCTTGTCATGTACCTTGCTTGCCTTGCTTTGTGCCTTGCCTTTTCTTGCCTTGGCTTGCCTTGTGCCTTGCCGTGCCTTGCCTTGTGTTGCCTTGTGCCTTGGCTTGCCTTGCCTTGTCTTGTGCTTTGCATTGCCTTGCCTTGCCTTGCCTTCTGCCCTGATTTATACCTTGCCTTGCTTTGTGCCTTGCCTTACCTTGGTTTGTGCCTTGCCTTGTGCGCCTTGCTTGCCTTGCTTTGTGTCTTGCCTTGCCTTTTCTTGCCTTTCCTTGCCTTGTTTTGCCTTGTGCCTTGCCGTACCTTGCCTTGCTTTGTCTTGCCATGCCATCTGCCTTACCTTGCTTTGCCTTGCACCTCTTTACCTTTCCTTGTGCCTTGCATTGTCTTTCCTTGTGCCTTGCCTTGCCTTGCCTTGCTTTGACTTGTGCATTGATTTGCCTTGTCTTGTTACTTGCCTTCCCTTGGCTTGTGCCTTGCCTTGCGTTGCCTTGTGCCCTGCTTTTGCCTTGGTTTGCCTTTCCTTGTTACTTGCCTTGCCTTGGCTTGTGCCTTGCCTTGGCTTTTTTCTTGCCTTAGCTTGTGCCTTGCCTTGCCTTGCCTTGTAACTTGCCTTGCCTTGTGGCTTGCCTTGCCATGCCTTGTCTTTTCTTGTCTTGCCTTGCCTTTTGTCTTTCTTTGGGCTTTGCCTTTTGTTACTTTGTGTTTTACCTTGCCTTGACTTTTGCCTTACTTCCCTTTTCCTTGCCTTGTGCTTTGCCTTGCCTTGCTTTGTGCCTTGCCTTGCTTTGTGCCTTGCCTTGCTTTGTGCCTTGCCTTGCTTTGTGCCTTGCCTTGCCTTGTACCTTGCATTGCCTTTCCTTGTGCCTTGTCTTGCCTTGTTCCGCGCTTCACCTTCTCTTGCCTCGTGCCTTGCTTTGGCTTGTCTTGACTTGGGCCTTGTCTTGCTGTGCCTGCATTCTGCCTGCCTTGCCTTGCCTTGTGCCTTGCCTTGCGTTTTGCTTTGCCTTGCCTTTCCCTTATGCCTTGCCTTTCCCTTATGCCTTGCCTTGACTTGACTTGCGCCTTGCCTTGACTTGACTCGCACCTTGCCTTGCCATTTGCCTTCACTTGCCTTGCCTTGTGCCTTCCCTTCCCTTCCCTTCCCTTGTGCCTTCCCTTCCCTTCCCTTGCCTTTTGCTTGCCTTGCCTTGCCTTGCCTTATGCCTTGCCTTGCCTGGCTTTGCCGTGCCTTGTGCCTTGCCTTGACTTGTGCCTTGCCTTGACTTGTACCTGCCTTATCTTGCCTTGCCTCGTGCCTTGCATTGCCTTGCCTTGTGCCTTGCATTGCCTTGCCTTGCCTTGTGCCTTGCATTGCCTTGCCTTGCACTTTTCCTTGACTTGCCTTGTGCCTTGATTTGCCTTGCCTTGTTCCTTGCCTTGCCTTGGCTTGTGCCTTGCTCTTATTTGGCTTGCCTCGTAACTTGCCTTGTGCCTTGCCTTGCGATGCCTTGTCTTGTCTTCTCTTGCCTTTCCTTGTGCCTTACCTTGCCTTGTGCATTGCCTTGTGCCTTGACTTGACTTGCCTTGGCTTGCCCTTTGCATTGCCTTGCCTTGCCTTGTGGCTTGCCTTTGCCTTGCCTTGTGCCTTGCCTTGCCTTGTGCCTTTCCTTGCCTTGCTTGTGCCTTGCCTTGCCTTGCCTTGTCTTATGCCTTGTCTTGCTTTGTGCCTTGCCTTGTGCCTTGCCTTGGTTTGCCTTGCCTTGTGCCTTGCCTTGGTTTGTCTTGCCATGCCTTGTGCCTTGCCTTGCTTTGTGCCTTGCCTTGTGCCTTGCCTTGGTTTTCCTTGCCATGCCTTGTGCCTTGGCCTACTTTGCATTGCTTTGCCTTCCCTTGTGCTTTGCATTGCCTTGCCTTGTGCCTTGCTTTGCCTTGGCTGGTGTGTTGATTTGCCTTGCCTTGTTATTTGCCTTCCCTTTGCTTGTGCCTTGCCTTGCCTTGTGCCTTGCCTTGCCTTGCGCCTTGTCTTGTGTCTTGATTTGCCTTGTCTTGTGCCTTGATTTACCTTGGCTTGTGCCTTGATTTACCTTGGCTTGTGCCCTGCCTTGCCTTGGCTTGTGCCTTGCCTTGCCTTGGCTTGTAACTTGACTTGCCTTTCCATGCCTTGTCTTTCATTACTTTGCCTTGTGCCTTTCCTTGCTTTTGCCTTGCCTTGTCTTATGCCTTGCTTTACCTTGTGCCTTGCCTTTCCTTGTGCCTTGCCTTTCCTTGTGCCTTGCATTTCCTTGTGCCTTGCCTTTCCTTGTCTTGCCTTGCCTTGCTTTGTTCCTTGTCTTGTGCTGTGTCTTACCTTGCCTTGCCTCATGCCTTCCTTTGGCTTGCCTTACCTTGTACCTTGCCTTGCTGTGCCTTGCTATCTGCCTTGCCTTCATCGCCTTGCTCTGTGCCTTGTCTTACCTTGATTTTTGCTTTGCTTTGCCATTCCCTTGTGCCTTGCCTTAACTTGCCTTGCGCCTTGCCTTCTTTGCCTTTTGCCTTGACTTGCCTTGCTTTGTGCCTTGCCTGGACTTGCCTTGCTGATGCCTTGACTTGCCTTGTTCCTTGCCTTCCCTTCACTTGCCTTTTGCTTGCCTTGCCTTGGCCTTGCCTTTCCTGGCTTAGCCTTGCCTTGCGCCTTACCTTGCCTTGATTGTTCTTTGCCTTGTGCCTTACCTTGCCTTGTGCCTTACCTTGCCTTGTGCCTTTCCTTATGCTTTCCCTTGCCTTGCCTTGTGCCTTGCATTGCCTTGCCTTGTGCGTTGCCTTGCCTTGGTTTGTGCCTTGCCTTGTGCCTTGCTTTGCCATGCCTTGTCTTGCCTTCCCTTGCCTTGCTTTTTGCCTTTCCTTGTGCCTTGGCTTGCCTTGCGCTTTGCATTGCCTTGCTTTTGCCTTGCCTTTGACTTGAATTCCCTTGCCTGTGCCTTGCCCTGCTCTGTGCCTTGATTTGCCTTGCTTTGTGCCTAGATTTGCCTGGCCTTGTGCCTTACCTTGTGCCTTGGCTTGCCTTGCACTTTGCATTGCCTTGCCTCGTGCTTTACATTGCCTTGCCTCGTGATTTGCATTGCTTTGCCTCGCGCTTTGCATTGCCTTGCCTTGTGCCTTGCCTTGCCTTGCATTGCTTTCTGCCTTGCCTTGCTTTGTGCCTTGCCTTGCCTTGTGCCTTGCCTTGTGGATTGCCTTGCCTTACCTTACCTTGTGTTGTCTTGCCTTGCCTTGTTCCTTGCCTTGCCTTGTGTTGTGCCTTGCTTTGCCTTGTCCCTTGTCTTGACTTGACTTGTCTTGTGCCTTGCCTTGCCTTGCCTTGCCTTGACTTGTGCCATGCCTTGTATTGCCTTGCCTTTTGCTTTGCATTGCCTTGCCTAGTGCCTTGCCTTGTGCATTGCTTTGTGCCTTGCCTTGCTTTGCTTTTTGTTGTGTGTGTGTGCCTTGCCTTGCGCCTTGCCTTGTGCCTTGCCTTGACTTGCGCCCTGCCTTTCCTTGCCTTGCTTTGTGACTTGCCTTGTCTTGTGCATTGCCTTGTGACTTGCCTTGTCTTGTGACTTGCCTATCCTTGCCATGTTTTTGGCCTTGACTTGCCTTGAGCCTTGCCTTGCACCTTGCTTTGCCTTGTGCCTTGCCTTTCCTTGCCTTGCCTTGTGCCTTCCCTTCCCTTCCCTTGTGCCTTCCCTTCCCTTCCCTTTGCCTTGTGCCTTGCCTCACCCTGTCTTGCCTTGCGTTATGTATTGCCTTGCCTTGTGCCTTGCCTTGTGCATTGCCTTGTGACTTGCCTTGCCTCGTGACTTGCCTATCCTTGCCTTATTTTGTGCATCGCCTTGCGCCTTGGCAAGAAAAGGGAAGGCAAGGTATGCCAAGAAAGGGCACAAGGCAAGGCACAAGGCAAGGCAAGTCACAAGACAAGACAAATCAACCCACAAGGAAAGGCAAGACAAGGCACAAGGCAAGGCAGTGCAAGGCACCAGGCAGGCAAAGCAAGACGAGGTAAGGCAAGGCACAAGACAAGGCAAAGCAAGGAAAAGCACAAAGCAAGGTGCAAGGCAAAGCAATGCAAAACACAAGGAAAGGCAAGGCAAGGCAAGACACAGGGCAAGCCAAGTCAAGGCACATGAAAAGGCAAGAAAAGGAAAGGCAAGGTGTGGTAAGAAAAGTCACAAGACAAAGCAAGTGACAAGCCAAGTCAAATCAACCCACAAAGAAAGGCAAGGCAAGGCACAAGGCAAGGCAATGTAAGGTACCAGGCAAGGCACAAGGCATGGCAAGGCAAAGTAAGGCAAGGCATGAGGCAAGGTACCAAGCAAGGCAAGGCAAGGAACAAGGTGTGTTAAGGCAAAGTAAGGCATGGTACAAGGCAAAGCAAAGCCAGGCACGAGGTAAGGCAAGGCAGAATACAAGGCAAGGCTAGATCAGGCAATGCAAAGCAAAGGGCAATGTGATGCAAGGCAAGGCAGAAGTCAAAGCAAGGCACAACGCAAGGCAAGGCAAGGAACGAGACATGGCAAGGCAAGGAACAAGACATGGCAAGGCAAGACAAGGCGCAAGGCAAGGCACAAGGCTAAGCACAGGCAAGGCACAATGCAATGCAAGGCTAAGCCAGGCAATGCAAAGCAAAGTGCAAGTAATGGCAAGTCAAGGCAAGGAACAAGGCAAGGCAGAAGGAAAGGCGCAAGCAAATGGAAGGCAAGTAACAAGGCAAGGGATATCAGCGCACAAGTCATGGCAAGGCAAAGCAAGGCAAAGCAAGCCACAAGGCAAGGCGCAAGACATGGCAAAGCAAAGTAAGCAAGTCACAAAGCAAGGCAAGGCACAAAGCAAGGCAAGGAAAGGCAAGTCACAAGACAAGGCATAAGACAAGGCAATGCATAACGTAAGGTGAGGCAAGGCACAAGCCATGCCTTGCCTTGTCTTGCCTTTCCTGGTATCTTGCCTTGCCTTGCCTTATGCCTTGATTTGCCTTCCCTTGTGCCTTGCCTTGTTTTGGCTTTTGCCTTGCTTCACCTTGTACCTTGCTTTGTGCCTTGTCTTGTGCCTTGCCTTGCACTTTGCATTGCGTTGTGCCTTGCCTTTTGCCTTGCCTTGTGCCTTGTTTTGCTTTGCTTTGTGTGTTGCCTTGCCTTGCAGTGCTTTGTGCCTTGCCTTGCCTTGCCTTGCTTTTTACCTTGCCTTGCCTTGCCTTGCCTTTTGCCTTGCCTTGCCTTTTGCCTTGCCTTGTGCCTTGTTTTGCCTTGCCTTGTGCCTTGTTTTGCCTTGCCTTGTGCATTGGCTTATGCTGTGCCTTGCCTTGTGCCTTGCCTTGCTTTGCCTTGCCATTCCTTGTGCCTTCCCTTTTGACTTGCCTTGCCTTGCGTTGCTTTGCCTTGCCTTGTGCCTTGCCTTGCTTTGCCTTGCCATTCCTTGTGCCTTGCCTTTTGACTTGCCTTGCCTTGCGTTGCTTTGCCTTGTCTTGTGCCTTGCCTTTCCTTGACTTGTGCATTGATTTCCCTTGCCTTGTTACTTGCCTTCCCTTGACTTGTGCCTTGCCTTGCCTTTTGTCTTGTGCCTTTCTTTTGCCTTGGTTTGCCTTGCCTTGCATTGCCTTGCCTTTTGCCTTGCATTGCCTTGCCTTGTGCCTTGCATTGCCTTGCCTTGTGCCTTCCCTTGCCTTGGCTTGTGCCTTGCCTTGTCTTTTTTTTTTTTTTTTTTTTTTTGCCTTGCCTTGCCTTGTGCCTTGCCTTATTCTTTGCCTTGCACCTTGCCTCGCCTTGTTCTTTGCCTTGTCTTGACTTGAACTGTCTTGCCTTGACTTGCCTTGCCTTGTGCCTTGCCTTTCCTTTTGCATTGCCTTTTGTCTTGCCTTGTGTATTGCCTTGCATTGGCTTTGCCTTGCCTGTCTTCTCCTCTCCTTGTGCCTTGCCTTTTTCCTTGCCTTGCCTTTCCTTGCCTTTTGCCTTCCCTTCCCTTGCCTTGCCTTGCCTTGCCTTTTGTTTTGCCTTGCATTGCCTTGTGCCGTGCCATGCCTTGCCTTGCCTAGTGCCCAGCCTTGCCTTGCCTTTTGCCTTGCCTTGCCTCATCTTGTGTTTTGCTTTGCCTTGCCTTGTGCCTCGCTCTGCATTGCCTTGCTTGCACGATGCCTTGCTCTGCCTTGCCTTGTGCCTTCCTTGCCTTGGCTTGCGTTGTGCCATCCCTTGTTTTGCCTTGTGCCTTTCCTCACTTCGCCTTGTGCCTTGCGTTTCCTGGACTTATACCTTGCCAGGCCTTACCTTGAATTATGTTTGTGCCTTTTCTTGCCATGGCCTTGCCTTGCCTGGCCTTGTCTTGCCTCGTCCCTTGCCTTGCTCCTACTTGTTTTGTCTGATGCCTTGCCTTGTGCGTAGCCTTGTGCCTTGCCTTGCCTTTTGCCTTCACTTGTTTTGCTTTGTGCACTGCACTGCATTGCCTTGCCTTGCCTTGCCTGGTCCCTTTACTTGCCTTGTGCCTTGCCTTCCCTTCCCTTTGCTTGCCTTTTGCTTACCTCGCCTTTCCTTGCCTTGCCTTGTGCCTTGCCTTGCCTTGTGCCTTACCTTGCCTTGCTTGTGCCTTAGCTTGCCTTGCTTGTGCCTTGCTTAGCATGCCTTGTGCCTTGCCTTGTCTTGTTCCTTGCCTTTTTCTGTGCCCTACCTTGCCTTGCTCCTTGCCTTTTTCTGTGCCCTACCTTGCCTTGCCTCGTGCCTTGCTTTGGCCTGCCTTGACTTTGGCCTTGCCTTGCTGTGCCTTGCCTTGTGCCTTGTCTTGCCTTGCCTTGCCTTGCCCTGCCTTGCCTTGTGCCTTGCCTTGCCTTGCCCTGTGCCTTGCCTTGCCTTGCCTTGTGCCTTGCCTTGTGCCTTGCCTTGCCTTGCCTTGTGCCTTGACTTGCCTTGTTTTGTGCCTTGTCTTGCCTTGTTCCTTGCCTTGTTCTGTGCCTTACCTGGCCTTGCCTCATGCCTTGCTTTGACTTGCCTTGACTTGGGCCTTGCCTTGCTATGCCTTGCTCTTTGCTTTGTTTCGACTTGCCTTGCCTTGTGCTTTGCATTGCCTTGTTCTTTTCTTTGCCTTGCCATTCCCTTGAGCTGTGCCTTGCCTTTTGCCTTCACTTGCCTTGCTTTGTGCTTTGTGTTGCCTTGCCTGGTGCCTTGACTTGCCTTGTGTCTTGCGTTCCCTTGGCTTGCTTTTTGCTTGCCTTGCCTTGCACCTTGCCTTGCCTTGACCTTGCCTTGCCTTGCCTGGCTTTGCCTTACCTTGTGTCTTGACTTGCCTTGACTTGAAACTTGCCATGCCTTGTAACTTGCCTTGCTTTGAGCATTACCTTGCCATGCTTTGTCTTGCCTTCTCTTCCCTTGCCTTGCCTTGTGCTGTGCCTTGCCTGCTTTGCCCTGTACTTCTCATTGCCTTGTGCCTTGCCTTG